TCTATTTAGTTTTGTTTCACTCTTTGTCATGTAACAATTCCTCTCTCTTCTTGCGCTTGTGTTGATGTGGTTCCTTCTGTCTTTTGTTGTGGATAGGTATTCTCTTGGTTTCCTACTGTTCCAGTTCTATTTTTATGTCCACCGTATTCTTCTTGAAAATTTGTGTCCAATTCCTCCCTACTATTTTGCTCCTGTGGGCACACCATCCGTTCGTAAAAATCCTGGGCTTTTTCCATAGTGTCTATTTTGATTTTCCTCTCTTTCCACGACACTAACATTCCTTCTGGAATAAGCCATTTAAATGTAATTCTTTTTTTATTTAAATGTGCTGCCAGAAATTTATAGTCACGCCTTTGTTCCCTTATTCTTCTCGGTATCTGTTTAAGAATCACAATTTCTTTCTCTTTGTAGGTTATTGTTTTATCTCTTGAGGTTCTATATATCATGTCTCGAAAACATCTTCTAGTGAATCGTATGTGTACTTCCCTGGAACATTTGTGGTGTCTTGCATAGTTTGTATTGACCCGGTAGACTTCACCAAACTCTTTTTGAATTTCACCTTTATCCATCGTCAATAAACCGGCCAGTATTTCTGCCATCAAGTATTCCAGGTCTTCTTCTTTTGATTCTGCCACATTTTGGAATCTTAGGTAAGTTGCTGCCTTGTCCATTTCTAGGAGGACAAGGGAGTCCCCCATTTATTTATTTATTTTATTTTATTTATTTTATTTATTTATTTATTTATTTGATTTGCCAATTGTTTACAAGATAATAAGTATAAGTGTATACATAGTTGTGAATACATGTAATGGGTACATATAAGAAAAATAAAAGAAGAATAAGAGAAACAATAGGACAGGGACGGTAGGCACGTTGGTGCGCTTATGCACGCCCCCTACAGACCTCTTAGGAAAGGGGTGAGGTCAATAGTAGACAGTCTAAGGTTAAAGTTTTTGGGGTTTGGGGAAGAAACTATAGAGTCGGGTAGAGTATTCCAGACATTGACCACTCTATTGCTGAAGTCGTATTTCCTACAATCAAGTTTGGTGCGGTTAACTTTGAGTTTGTATCTATTGTGTGCTCTTGTGTTGTTATGGTTGAAGCTGAAGTATTCATTGACAGGTAGAACATTGCAGTGTATGATTTTATATACCATGCTTAAATCAGACCGAAGACGGCGTAATTCAAGGTTTTCTAGTTGTAGAATTTCAAGTCTGGTGGCATAAGGTATTCTACAACGAGTAGAGGAGTGGAGAACTCTTCTTGTGAAATATTTCTGGACTTTCTCAATTGTGCTAATATCAGATACGTAATGTGGGTTCCAGAGTATTGGTCTAGCAAATGTTTTGTATGCTCTGGTTAGTAGTGTAATTTTACCAGAGAAAAAGCTACGTAGGATTAGGTTAACAACTCTTAATGCCTTTTTGGCTATGTAGTTGCAGTGGGCTCTAGCACTTAGATCATTAGAGGTGAGTATTCCAAGGTCCTTTACAGAGCTTGGGTCATCAACAAGATCTTGACTATTCAGCTTGTATTTTATTTTCTGATTTTTTTTTGCCAATATGTAAGACAGAGCATTTGTTTGTTGAGATTTGAAGTTGCCATTTGTTTTACCATTCTGATACATAGTCAATATCTTTTTGTAGGGTAGCAGTATCGTCTGTGGTATTGAACAGCTTTACATCATCAGCGAAAAGAACGCAATTGCTCTTAATATGATCACAGAGGTCATTTATGTAGAGTATGAAGAGAGTTGGTCCTAGAACACTGCCTTGTGGGACACCACTATTGACAGGTACAGAATTTGATAGGACGCTCCCAATTTTGACCATTTGTTGTCTGTTTGCCAGGAATGCTTCTATCCAGTTATGCAGTTGTCCAGAGATACCATAGGATTTTATTTTTAGGAGTAGTTTGTCGTGTACCACTGAATCAAAGGCTTTACAGAAGTCTATGTAGATTGCGTCTATTGCTTTGCCCTGATCGAGTTGTGTCGTCCATATGTTTTTGCAGTGTAAGAGTTGCAGATTACAGGATAGTTTTTTTCTGAAACCAAATTGTTTATTGGAGAGTAGGTTGTTTGTCTCTAAGTGGAGGATGATGGATTGGTTAATAATTGATTCCATGACTTTACAGGTGACGCAACATAAGGAGATTGGTCTGTAATTTTCAACTAGGCTTGGGTCTCCCTTTTTGAAGATGGGGATGATTGTGGCTTGTGACCATAGGTTAGGCAAGGAGCTGGTCCTGAAAGATTTTTCAAAGATTATGCTTAGAGGTTTGGCTATGGCAGTGGATAGCTTTTTAAAGAAGTAGCCACATATTCCATCCGGTCCAATAGATAGAGATGGTTTTAGATTGCGTAGTGCTTTTTCAACATTGTCTTCTTTAAAATCGATATGTATTAGATCATTGTGGTTATCTGTGGTACGGCTAGGAAATACTGGGCATGATCCATTGCTGTTTACAAATACTGAGCTGAAGAATGTGTTAAAGATGTTGGCTTTAATGGTGTCGTCGTTGCAGTCTTTACCATCAGGTCCTATCAGGGGTGGGATGGACCTTGAGTCTTTTAGTTTGTTGTTTACAAAATTGTAAAAAGCACGGGTGGAATTGGCGCTTAGAAGGTTTTCCTCTTGTTTAATGTGATAATTGGTGCATTCGGTCTTTATCTGGTGGCATAAATTTTTGTATCGGCTTTTGAAATTGGCAACGTGACCAGATTTGTTTTTCCGCCAGAGTGATCTCTTTTTGGATTGAAGTTTCCTTATTGTTATGGGTAATCTGCTTTTTTGTTTTGTTTTGGTAGTTGTTGTTGGTACATATAGTTTGATGACTCTTTTGACTTCAAATAAAAATATGTTGTAATGGTCTTCAACAGTATTGCATCCAGTGAATAGAGATTGCCAATCAAGGGATGAGAGATCGTTGTCTATAAGATCATAGTTGCCTTTTTTGAAGTTACAATTGGGGATTACATCATTGTGGTGATTTTTGTGTTGGTGTATCATATTGTGGTCACTGCTGGAAAAGGGTTCTTTAGTTTGTATTCCATAAATTAAATTCAAACTATTGCAGAAGATGAGATCGAGGCAGTTGTTTAGTCTAGTGTTGTTGGTTACCAGTTGTTCCAGTCCCAGATTTGTAATAGCATTGTAGAATGTTGTGTGTATGATTTCAGTTGTACAATCATTTAGGGTCCAGTCAATATGAGGTAGATTGAAATCACCAAGAAAGATAAAAGGGTATGGGCAGGATGCAGCCCATGTTAGTAATGTATTTAGCTTGTTTACATGTTCGATGTCATAATCAGGTGCTCTGTAACATAGTAAGAATCGAATTGTGATATTTAAGGATAGTTCACAGATGATGCTCTCAGGAAGAGCAAGCTCCTGGGTAACTTAGATATTTTTTAGATGTAAGGACTTTTTATAGAAGATAGCAACACCACCTCCTCTACCAATTTCACGATCTGATCGGTAAACATGATAGTCTCTTACTGTGGTAATGGAGTCAGGGAGAGATGCATTGAGCCATGTTTCACAGACAAATATAATGTCGAAGTTAGCCATATTTAGTAGGAGGAAAAATTCAGGTATTTTATTCATGAGGCTTCTTGCATTGAGTAGTTTGCATTTAAGGCCAGCAGTAGTTGGAATTGAGGTAGTTAAGGGCGTGCGTGCCTAGTCTTGGGTGATGGTGGATCAGTTGAGGTAGGGTTGTGGCTGAGGGTTAAAGCTGAGTTGCGGGTTGTGTGGCTTACTTTTGATACAGTCAGCATGGTAGTCAATGTACAGGTAATTCTCTCCATTGTCTAGACATTTTTTGAGTTCAGTGCGGAGTATACGGGAGCGGGCACGTTGCTGTATGGTTAGGTCAGGGCAACAACAGAGGTTCTTATGGTTGGTGTTGGTTTTGGCGAGTGAATTTATAATGTAAAAAATTTATAGTGTAAAAAGTCCTTGCACATGCTTTTGAGATCTTCATCCACCCTTTCTAATTCCCTTTCCGTTCATTCGGTTCTTTTCTCTACTTCTTTTATTATAACTTCGTTTTTCTCCAAGGCCTGCTGCAACACCCCCACTTATCCTCTACTTTGGAAATGTCCGCTTTCATTTCTGTCTTTAGTTTCCCCATTTCTTCCTTCAATTCATTAATATCTGCCCTTGTTTCACTGTGGTTTTTAGTCATTGTTTCTTGCAATCTTGTCAATGAGTCCTGTAAGGTTAGGAACATTGCTTGAATATTCGCATTCGAGATGCTAGTTGACTTCTCTGTTGGTAGTGTTTCCTCTATTGTTTTTTGTGCCATAGGTGAAGTTGTTGCCAAAGTGGTCATTATTGTGGGATTAACCTTCCTACCAGATTTCAGAGCAGTGGTAGTTGTAGTAGTCATTTCCTTTAAAATTTGTTTTTGTTGTTGTACAATGCTAAATATATTATTTCCAAATTGGCATTCAGTATTCTTAGTTCTGTAACTAAAATTGACCAAAATCTATCAATCTATTAAACAGCTATATTCTTAACTAATTAGTAAAGTGTATATATATTTCTCTAGTTTAACTTCAATATAAAGTAACCTTAACTACACAATATATTACATTCACAGATACACCCACACAATGAAATATAATATTGGTCTAGAGAGCTCTAAGATTGTTAAATAACTAATGCTTAATATTCTTACTGTCTCCCCTATATTCCCATTCAAATTATAACAATCTCTATTAATAATAACTTAACTAAATTAATTAATCCAATATTTTAACACTCTAATATTTCTTTACTAAATGTACATATTTATCAAGAGGAAATCAGGAAAAAAAAAGCAAGCATATTTCAACATAGCATACCATCAACAAGTAGAAAGGAAGAGAGGCTATTTTAGTAAGTATGTACACACAGAAAAGGGTAGAGGAAAAGAAAAAAGAAAATTCCAAAGACAAGAGGTTTTTTTTTCCGCTTTTCACTTTGGGAGCTTTCACTTCGAGCACACCGGAAATGGCAAATGAAGATTTCCTGAGTAACAGTTGCCAGTAAGCAATGTTCCCACTTGTTTAAAGACTTCCTCTTTTACTTATATTTTAGTGTTCTTTAAATCAATTGATTTGATCTCCTTCAAATAGAGAAAGGAACTATCTCCTCTGCTAGGACCAGTTCTCAATTTTCCCAGAGTTTATAGATTAGATTGTGTCCCTTCAGACAGTTAGATCTGTTACTTTGTTGTAGCCACTTCAACATTCTGGATACCGCCTATGGCGCCGCTCTGTCTTTCCCCCTGATTGGCTTCATTCTGCTTCTGGCTCCGATTTAATAGCTTCAATCCAAATGTTAGTGATAATAGAGTCTTTTTAATCGCTTACCCGTGCTGGTCTCCAGACTTCCAAAGTTCTCTTTACTTCTTTTTTATTTCCAACTCTCTTCTGCCTGCCGAGCCCCTTCACTTTCACTAGACCGATTCTCTTGTAGCCGCTTCCTCTTAGAGCTCACAGCAGGCGTTCGCACAGTATATAACAGCCTGAAATCAGTCTATTGTCAGTCAAATATCTTCTCTGCCACTGTCTTTAACCACGACTCTCTTTCCAACGCAAGCTTGCAAACTTTCACTCACTCTTTCCTTCCCATCGGTGGCAGTCCAGACTTCGCAGCCTCCATTGACAGGAGGGCTTCCTCTTCGTTGCAGGGGGGTTGCTTTCCCCACACTGCAGCCCGAGGTTCCCCCACACCATCACGGGTCTCTCCGAGACTCGAGCACCCCGAAATATTGCACCAAACTCAAGAAAAGGATGGCTAGAACCGCGAGCGGATTTCTGCCCCCCTGACGGTCCTTGCCTCGCCACCGGAAGTCCTAGGTTAACAACTCTTAATGCCTTTTTGGCTATGTAGTTACAGTGGGCTCTAGCACTTAAATCATTAGAGATGGATACTCCAAGATCCTTGAAAGAGTTTGGATCATCAACAAGGTCTTGACTATTAAGCCTGTATTTTATTTTCTGATTTTTTTTGCCAATATGTAAGACAGAGCATTTATTTGTTGAGATTTGAAGTTGCCATTTGTTTGACCATTCTGATACATAGTCGAGGTCTTTTTGAAGGGTAGCAGTATTGTCTGTGGTATTGAATACCTTTACATCATCAGCGAAGAGAATGCAGTTGCTCTTAATATGATCACAGATGTCATTTATGTAGAGTATGAAGAAAACTGCCTTTGGAGGCACCACTCTTGACAGCTACAGAATTTGATAGGATGCTCCCAATTTTGATCATTTGTTGTCTGTTTGACAGGAATGCGTCTATGCAGTTATGCAGGTGTCCAGAGATACTATAAGATTTTAGTTTTAGGAGTAGTTTATGGTGTACCACTGAATCAAAGGCTTTACAGAAGTCTATGTAGATTGCGTCTATTGCTTTGCCCTGCTTGAGTTGTGTGGTCCATATGTTTTTGCAATGCAAGAGTTGCAGATTACAGATTGTTCCTTTCTTGATTCTCAAAGTAGGATTATTCTCCTGAGTCAAACAAAACTCTTCTCTCCAACTGCCCACTTTTGTGGCAATGTTCGTTCCCAATTCCCCTTCTCATTTTTAAAACCATGATTATTTATTCTCCTTTGGGATTTCCACCACCACAATTAATTGCCAATCAATGTGACAACCAATGGGATAGACAACACCTGATAATCTGATTTGTAACAGCCTCTTTCAGTGATAAAGGCAGAGGTTGGGGTAAAGCTGGGCAAATACTATAGCAGTCTAATAGTTTAAAGGTAAAACTTCCAAATCTGGGGGCAAACTGGTTCTTCCTCATTGTAATTGTGGTCTTCTGTGATCTCTGAGATTTAGCTCTGTGCTGAAGAAAAAACTGTAGGAAGGATCTCTTGCAGGATATGTCAAATGTTGGTGCTGCTGCATGTACAGCTTTTTCTGCTTCAGGTTCTGTCTCAAATTCCCTGTGCCAGTATGCTGATGAAATGTCCATTTAAGGTGATAATAGAAGAAAAGGAATGGTTCCATTACTACAAACCAGGAGACTATTGGATTACTGGAATAATGTATGGAATCCCAGGTCTATTGTACCAATTTTCATTCTTAAAGCCTCCAACCCACCAACAAAAAAGGTAACTGCCAGCACCTCCAGGATTCTGGTGATTGATTTTACCTGCTCCAATGTTTTTCCTAAGAATGATTTCATTTCTCCTATTCCTCACCTTGAGAAAGGCAAGTCATTATTGCTCATCCCAATTTGCTTTAGAGCAGGGGTCTTCAAACTTGACAGCTTTAAGATTTGTGGACTTCAACTCCCAGAATTCCTCCTCCAGTCATGTTAGCTCAGGAATTCTGGGAGCTGAAGTCCACAAATATTAAACTTGCCAAGTTTGAAGATCCTCGTTTTAGAGGAAAGGCTCCTGGGGAAACAATGATTTTGTAAAACCTGAGTTTGCAAAGTTCCTTTTATGTTCTTTCACAAGTCTCAGCCTCAACCCTGGGAAACACCAGGCATTGCCAATACTGTCCCATGATGAATCTTTCCTGGATGGGTTCTGCCTGCTTTCAAAATGATTATCTTGGGACTGTGGAGTCAGTAACTTTTTTATTCATATTTATTGTATTTATTTATTATTTATTTTATTTGTTTGTCAAACATCTACAAGATAACAAGGAAGGTATAAACATAAACATGAACAAAGGAAGTAAATACAGATAAATGGGGAGAGTAGGTCAGGGGTGGAAAGCTCGCTGGTGCACTTATGCATGCCCCCTTTAAGGGATCTTAGAAATGGTGTGAGGTCCACGTTAGACAGTGTTAGATTGAAGTTGTGGTCGATTGAGGCTGTAGCAATGGAGTTGGGTGGGACATTCCAGACCTTGACCACTCTCTCACTGAAGTTGTATTTTGTGCAATCGACTTTGAAGCAGTTTACCTTGAGTTTGAATTGGTTGCCGGTGTATTTTTGTGGTTGGAGCTGAAGAAGTTGTTGACAGGCAAGACATTGTAGCAGACCCTTTTTTGTAGTATGCTTAGATCGGACTGCAAGCAGCAGAGTTCCAGATTGTCCAAGCCCAAAATTTCAAGCCTGGAGGCATAGGGAATTCTCCTGTGAGTGGAGGAGTGGAGTACACTTCTCTGAACCCACTCAATTGTGTTCGTGTCCAATATACAGTGTGGGTTCCAGGCAAACGAGCTGTATTCAAGAATTGGTCTGGGAAAGGTTTTGTATGCCCTAGTAAGCAATTCTATGTTAACAGAGAAGAAGCTTCACAAAATAAGGTTAACAACTCTTAATGCCTTTTTGGCAATGTTGTTACAGTGAGCTCTGGGGCTTAGATCGTTTGAGATGAGTATGTATTAACAATAGTTAAATAGTAACTGCCAATAAAGTGATTGAATGAATACCTTAGATCAGAGTGAGATCTCTTGTGTTTTCTCCCCACTGTTTCTTCCCCTTCCTTACATTTACTCTATATTTCCTACCACCTTGCCCCCTCTTTCTTTCTACTCTTTAACACTTTTGCCACTTTTGTGGCTTCCCTGTTCCTTTTGGTTCAAATAAAAAGGATACCTTTTAAAAAGCAAATTCAAGGAGGGGATAGACTTTAGGTGATAAGTTAATGTTTAGTCACAGAGGAATCACATTAACTGAAGTTAACTGTAGAATATAGGACAAAAACTTAAAAGCCATGAATATTCTGCAACAAATCTCTAGGTCTAAAAAAGTCTAGTTGAGAAGATATCCCTCTTCAGATCAGTAATACCTCTCGCTAATCCAGCACTTGAATTCAGCTGTTAGTCATCTCCAGGGTGGTATAACAGGAAGAAATCATATAATATAATCACAACGTACACAAGGGGTTAGGGTATGATTTTAATTACATTTTATGGATTGTTGTGAATTGATATGAGTGATATATTAGCTTTGCAAATAGGTAAACTCTAATTAGCAATACAATGTTTCCAGAAAAAAAGCTTCGCAAATTTAAGTTTAAAACTCTTAATGCTCTTTTAGCAATGCTGTTACAGTGGAGCATAAATTGCCAAAGATATGTACACCTAGGTTCTTAACAAGGTGAGGGTCCTCTGCTAGATCAATGCCACTTAGCGTATACTTGAAATTTACCAATTACGTTTACCAATATGTAACATAGAACATTTATTAATTGAAATTTGAAGATGCTAAATAGGTGACCATTCAGTAACATAGTCGTGTTCACTTTGCACAACAACAGAATTATCTGTAGAATTGAATAATTTTATGTCATTGGCAAAAGGAACCCAATTGCTTTTAAGTTGATCACATAAATCGTTCATATAGAGTAAAACAAGATGATGAAATTTCTTATGTTGCAGTGAGAAAACCTTCTACCACATTCTTCCCTTCTTGTTGGCTGTTCATGAAGTCAACCAGAATTCAAGGCTCTTACCCAACATCACCCTGGGCTACAACATCTATCAGAATTTTGTCAATGCAAGAATGACATATGAGGCCATGCTGGATGTGCTGTCTACAGGACAGGAGAATATCCCAAACTACAGATGTGGAAGACAAAAGAACTTGCTGGCTATTCTTGAAGAGATGAATTCTGAACTCTTTGATCATATTTCCAATGTCTTGAGCATCTATAAAATTCCACAGGTATAAAGCCAAATGAAATTATTTACATGTTGTAAATTGTTCAGATTTGCCTAGAAGGCAGCACTTGTATATATTTCTCCAAATAAATTGATGGTCAGAGATGAAATATTAGAAGAGCTGAAAGAATTTTTAATTCATAAAGTGTGTGTGTCTGTGTGTGAGTGTATATACATACATATGTATATAAGGTAAAGGTAAAGGTTCCTCTCACACATATGTGCTAGTCATTTATGGCTCTAGGTGGCGGTGCTCATCTCCATTACAAAGTCGAAGAGCCAGCGCTGTCTGAAGACATCTCCATGGTCATGTGGACAGTATGATTAAACTCCAAAGGCATACAGGACGCTTCCCACCGTAAGGGTCCCTATTTTTCTGCTTGCATTTTTACATGCTTCCGAACTGCTAGGTTGGCAGAAGCTGGGACAAATAACATGAGCTCACTCCATTATGCGCTGCTAGGGATTTGAACGCCGACCTTTCTGATCAACAAGCTCAGTATTTTAGCCACTGAGCTACCGCATCCCCACATAGGTGTGTGTGTGTGTTTGTGTGTGTGTCTGTATATATGCATATGCATTGTATATATATCTGTGTGTGTATATACGTAACTCGAGGATCCGGTTGATTGAATCACATTAAATCAATGTGATCCCTGCCTAATTTGCCCAATGCATTTGCTAATGAAATGCACAGGTTGTTAAATGCACATGAGGGATCTCAGAGTGGGGAAGGCCATACAGAGCCTAGTGTTGAAAGAGGCCACCCAAAGTCTCCCCTGATACCTCATACTCACTTATAATCCCTTGGGAACCCCATTGTTTTTTCCGCCTTCACATCCTGCCCTGGCATTCCTTTGCTTTGTTAGCCTCCTGGCTCCTCTTCCTTCCTGCATCCCATGTCCCATGGATTGCTTATTTTTTTGAAGATCTGCAGAGTCCCAGAGGAGGGTGGCCCACTGGAAGAGAAGCTGAAGTGTTTTATTCAGATGATGGCGAAGCTATAAGAATATGAAATCTAAGGAAAACATTTTTGACAGTTTCTGGGTAAAAGACTGGCTTTGGGCCATGTGGCCAACAGGCCTCTGGTAGTAGAAAAGGCCTGGGTGTGACCATTGGGAATTTTGAAAATGATGACTTTTGAAAAGCAAGACGTTGTCATAGAACGTATGAGTGTTGGATCAGTGACTTTTAAACATTTTGAAAATGTAGTGACCAATACAAAAAAGATTTTTTTCCCACAGAACCACAGAATAAAAAGTCCAACACCTTACATAGAGGAGGAAAGGTCAGACCACTACAGACAAATTTCTGTCCAATTTTTCCTTGAAAATATCCAGCAATGGAGCTCCAGGAGACAGGCTGTTCCAACTCCTAATAACTCTCACAGTGAGGAATTCCTCATTTTTGTAAACTTGAGACTGAAGTAAAAAATTCAAAAGAAAAATTATGAAGAAGAAAAATGAATAGGTCAAGATAGCTAGAAGGCTCCTCAATAAAGCAGCTTGTACATACTTTCTCTAGTGTACAAAACCGAATAAAATATGTCATAATATTCATTCTTATTTTGAACAGGGGCTTGGCACAATGCCAGTTGTATTGGGGTTTGTTTTTAAAGTGAGGTTATTAAACTGACTTCTGCATTTCAAATGTCTGAAATAAATTCAGCCAAATAAAGAGCTTATACAGAAATATTTGAAACAACTATATTTAGACAATGAAATAATATACCAATATTATATACCAGTTGCTAGGGGGGGAGATATAACAAGCAATATTTCAAGCCCAACATATAAAATAATCAAATAAGCAGTAATAATCTATGAGAAATTAATATGTTTGTCATTTTAAAAAGATATTCCACGAGTATATAGCAGTATTCCAGTATTTGAGAGGCTTCCACAAAGAGGAGGAGGTCAATCTATTTTCCAAAGCACCAGAAGGCAGGACAAGAAACAATGGATGGAAACTAATCAAGGAGGGAAACAACATGGAATTAAAGAGAAGCTTCCTGACAGTGAGGACAATTAACCGCTGGAACAGCTTTACCTTCAGACATTTTGGGTGCTTCATCACTGGGGTTTTTAAAGAAGAGACTGGACAGTCATTTATCTATAAATAATATCGGGTCTCCTGTTTGAGCAGGTGGTTGGACTAGGGTAGGGGTATCACTCGAGCTCATTTAGGCCCACATCAGGGTTGTGTTTGACCTTGAGGGGAGGCATTACCAAGATGGGCATGGCCAGCATGACATCACTTGTGTCAGAAGGCACCTGTGGTGGCCTGAAAACTCTGCCAGCGAAAACGGGCTCCCGAGCTCCATTTTTGGTTCGGACGGCCTACTGCAACTCTCTGCCAGTGAAAATGAAGCTCGGGAGAGCCATGCACATCCCTCTCTAGCTCCATTTTTTGCTGGAAGGGGCACCTTTTCTATTTCCAGGGCATTCCCACGGGCCAGATCTAAGCACCCTACAGGCCAGATCCATCCCCCAGCCCTTCAGTTTGGTACCCCTAGAGTAGGATCTCCTGCTTGAGCAGATTTTTTGACTAGAAGACTTTCCAGCTCTATTCTGACTGACTAATTAACTGAGTGGATGGGTGGCCCACAGAGTTATAACGTGACCAGAAGGGTGTGCTCTATGAGGACCACCAATGAACATTACCCACAGATAATTCAGAGCTCCCTGGTGTCAAGGTTCCAACGAATGCTCTAATTAATTTATGAGCCTTGAGCCAAGTTTCAAAAGAAATCCAACTATTTATTAGGAGCCACATGTTGGCACTTTTCCCAAGTACAGTCGGCTCTGCCCCATGTAATTTACTGTTCACCTATTACCCTGTTTCCCCCCTCCTCCCAGGGTGTGTCATAAATCACATTCTCCAACTAAGAACTTTCGCCGGGCTGTGGAATTCATGCCACGCCTCTCCGGCTGGGCTTGGTAATTTGTGGCACAACATGGAGAAAGGTATGCATGGACTGTCCTTCTGATCATAGCAACAAACTTTTCCATCACATCTTCCCCCACTCCTTCTTATGGCAACTTGAGAGCAAGCTAGGAATGCTTTATGAGTTGACATCTGGTTTCAAAGTGAGTATACAAAATGATAGGACAGAACATCAAGGGAACTTGCAAAATTCATGCAATTCTCAGCAGTGGGGGAAGGCCCTTAGATTTACAATCTGACTTTCATAGTTAAAACTGGTGAAAACTGCCAATACCTTCTCTTTCATCTTAGATCAACTACAGTGTCATCAACCAGATGGCTGAGCAAAATCATCGTTTCACTTTTTCATATCGGATGACCCCAAACCAAGAACCTCCTTACTCAGCGATTGTCCAGCTGCTCCTGCAGTTCCAATGGACGTGGATAGGCCTCCTTTCTCAGGACAATGAAAGAGGAGAAAAATTCAAAAGACGCTTGGAAGTTCTTGCCTTAAAAAATGGGATTTGCACTGTCATCTCAGGAACTGTCCCAGAAGCAAATGCACAGACAAGTGCTGAAGAAAATCTCATGCAAGAAAAAAGGAAAATGTTCTATTCTCTTCTCAAGAGTCAAATAAAAATTATAGTATGCCAACTGGATTTTCAGGCCTCGGCAATATTAGCAGCAGTAATACAAATAATTGATAGGATTAATACATCCCTGGTAGGAAGGGTGTGGATTGCCACAACTTTGACAGCTTTAAGTTTAAGTGCTTTTGATCTTTGGGTTGATCTCCAAAACAGACATGCTTTGTTTTCCTTCCTCATCCAGACAAAGAGAAGGACTCAGTATTATGACTTTAAATCTTATACATCTATGATCGTATTGTATGGAAAGGAAGCATTCCGATGTTCCTATTCAAATCCTCTGTTATCAAAGAAAGTTTGGAAAAAATGCAGAGAAAAAGAGAATTGGGAATTCCCATCCCATGATGTGATTGCAAGAATCCTGTCTCAGGATTCCTCCAGGATTTCCCAAATAATTCAAATTGTGGCCCGGGTCCTCAGTGCTGCCTTTTCCTCCCAATGGAGTAAGAGGAGAATGCAAGTTGGATACCATCAACCACCCCAGATTGTACAGCCATGGCAGGTGGGTATTCTCCTTTGAGGTTCCATTGATTCTCCCCTTCCAATTCCTCAATATTAAATTAGACGTCAAAAGGTGAGATATTACAAAGAGCAGTTCTCCAGTTAGTGGTATTTGAGAGTAAGTGTCAACCCTGAAGCTCACCTGACTGAGGGCATTTTGATGCTTCAGTATTGTCACACTGGAACTGAGGTAAAGGGAGGCGGGAATCGAGATAGCTGGGGTATTGTTGTCTCCTTGGAAACAAGGACATTCCCAGCGATGGCCAGAGAGAGGATGAGTGAAGTCACCAGGCAAAGTGGATGACACCTTGATTAGAGCATGTGACTGATAGTTTGGAAAGAGGAGGAAAACTTTTATTTTTAATTAAGTGAAAACCATGGTAATGTTTAAAGTCAGTTTTCACCAGCCTATGCCTATATGATATGTCCAATAAAACTGATATGTGAGGAACCTACTTACCTCAGAGTCCAGTTTGCTCCGGGCATATTACTTAGAACCCTGACAGTGAGTTAGAGAGAGAGAGGTGATAGAGAAAAATATTCCAAACAATCTGTCTAGTTTGGGATGCTTTTGTGACAGAAATAGCTCAATGCTGACAAAATGTCAAAATTAAACAAGCATCAGAATAGTCTAGCAATCCTCAATCTTTTATTGCGATCACAAAGTCATCTAGTCTCCAAGCTAAGGAGTTCAGCTGGGTTTTTTGTTCTGGATTAAAATTGGACTTTGCTGCCTAAAAGTTTGTAACATAGCAACAAGGTATAAATCAAAGCATCTTCTGGGGACAACCAAAGGTTCGTCCAATCATCTCCTGAACTGATGGATACGCTTCCATAGCTACTCTTTGAAAGAGATAACATCACTATGCAATTTTTGTTACATTCCTAGGCCAAAGTTAAACTCCGCTAACTTCATCTTGACCAGGACTGATGGTAAAATTGTATTCTCCATCTTCTCCCATGACAAGTTTCCCCATATCTGCAAATGTTCTTGCCTCAGATGGGCTGTGATGGTGAAGCTGCAAAACACAGAACATGAAACTTAGAATAATAGAATTTGAAAGGACCTCACAGGTTCCCTAGCCCAACCTACTAATCGAGCAGGACACCCTATACCAGGGATTTTCAAACTTGACAGCTTTAAGATTTGTGGACTTCAACTTCCAGAATTCCTCCTCCAGTCATGTTAGCTCAGGAATTCTGGGAGTTGAAGTCCATAAGTCTTAAACTTGCCAAACTTGAAGACCCCTACCCTATGCCATACCATTTCAGAGTAATGGTAGCCCAGGTCTCTTCGTGAAAGCCTCCAGTGATGGAGCACTCACAACTTTTGAAGGCAAGCTATTCCATTGGTTGGTTGCTCTCTCTGCTCAGAAATTCCTCTTAGTTGTAGGTGCTTCTCTCCAACCATTGTTTCTTTTCTCGCCTATTGGTACTTTGGGAAATGTTTTGACCCCCCCGCTCAAATAATAGAAAAGTGTTATCATATCTCCCCACTCCTTCTTTTCCTTAGATTAGACATACCAAATTCCTGTAACTGTTTGTGGTATGTTTTATCCTCCAGCCCTCTAATCATTTCTTGTTGCTCATCTCTGCAGTAATTGCAGAGTTTTAGTACCTTTTTTATATTGTGTTGATGAGCAGAACTGGATGCAGTATTCTAAACGTGGTCTTACTAAGGCTTTTTAAAACAATATTAGAACCTCTTGTGATCTTGATTCTATCCCTCTGTTAATGCAGCCTAGGATTGCATTGGCATTTTTATCTGCTGACACACATTGTTGGTTCATATTTAAGTGATTGTCCACTAGGACTCCAAGATCCTTCTCACAATTACTGGCATTAAGCCAAGTTTCACATAGACTGTAACGTGTACTTTTGGTTTTTCTTGCCTCAGTGGAAATCCTTACTTTTATCTATGCTGAATTTTATTTTGTTAGGTAGGGGTCCATATCCAATTTGCAAAGATCTTTTTGGATATTCAGCTTGTCTTCTGGGATGTTGCCTATTCCTGCCAGTTTAGTGTTGCCTGCAAATTTGATGATTTGAAGAGGTTGAATTATTCAGAGTACCTCCAATCAAGAATAAGAGCAAGAAAAACATTGAATAAAGGCTCAAATTGTAATATTCTTTCTATGTTTCTGCAGCTCCATACGTTCCTGAGGAACTTCCAAAATCAAAATAATTCCAGAGATGGGATTTCTTTTGATGAAAATGGAGTTCCCGTTGGTGATTTTGATATCATGCACTGGACATCAGTTCGGAACAAATCAGATGAAGGGGTGAAAATTGGGAGTGTAGAAAGCCAATCCTCTTCAGAAGTCAAGATTTCTGTCAATCAAAGTGCCATCCAATGGCCAACTTTATTTAACAAAGTAGTTGAGGCTGCTTGGATTTTGCTGTTCTATTTATCTCCATATGTGTAAATTTTCTGCTAAGAAATAATTCTTATTGAGCCCAATTGAGATAGCTTCCAAATAAGAGAACTTAAAGCCTCATTAATTTATTAGATATATTTTACTTTAGAGGTCTTACAATAATCTGTCACACACTGGAACCTGCTGCATTGTATTACGGAATTTGCAATCTATATTATTAAACTGGAATATGTTGCCATAATTTATAGTACATGAAATTAATTTGTTTTCAGTAAGAGAAACTCCAGAATGTCTATGTCAGGTCATGGTTGTGCCAAAGGTGTTTTTTCAAAAAGCACCTGGATTTTGTTTTCCCTTGAAGATGTTTGACTTCTCATCCAATAAGTTTCTTCTTTTCTGACTGAATGGTGGAGGATGGAAGGATTTCGAACTGCTGAAAAGACTGTGTTGTCAACAGGATATAGATTCAGCAATTGCAGGAAGGTTCCACACCCATTTGCACTATTCACGTGACCCTGAGGGCACAGATAAATTCCAAGGGGCCTAAACAACTTTCAAAAAGACTGTTAACAACCAGATGACTGCAAGAAATATATACCCTTCCATATGCCTCCATTCAGTCAGAACAGCTTATTGCGAGTATGTAATTACTACCTCCTTTACACTTAACATTATTTACTAATATATTTCCTATCTTTGTTCTATCCAGTCATACCAACATTCCCAGCTTTAGTAATATTCTAATGATTCAAAATCAGTTGTCAGTGAAATGATGAGTTGTCTTTTGTAAAAGCTTCTTGGGGAGAAAATCCAGAATAGGAAGGGTTTATCCCATTGAATTGCATAAGAGGAAGATAGCATTAAGAATGTGGTGAGGGAAATGAGGGCAGCTAAAAAAATCCATTTACATATGATGATACAATGATCAGTTGTAGGAGAGAAAGATGGGGACTATAGAGAAAGCTAGATTTTGGAGGTTTCCTGAGAAAGCTAAGATGGAGAAAGAATATATACAAGTTATGGCATTCTCATACATGCTCTAAGGAGAAACACCTTTTGCAATGGAACTTCTTTCCTTTGGAAAGAAGAATAAGGCAACGAATCTGTTTTGGAACGTATAATGGAGATTGATAGAGGAAAGAGAATGACTCTTCATTTGCCCGTTGCAAGTAGAGTAATTAAAGGTCATACCACGATTTCTTGACAGATTTTGCTCAATGTGCTCCTGACTTTTGGAAGCCAGTTGATTTTAGTAAACTTTTATATTTCATACTAATCTTGTGGTTTATGTTGAAAACTAAAGGTTTCTCTTGCACATACGTGCTAGTCGTTTCTGGATCTAGGAGGCAGTGCTCATTTTCATTTCAAAGCTGAAGAGCCAGCACTGTCAGAAGACGTCTTCGTGGCCATGTGGCTGGCATGAATAAATGCTGAAGGTGCAAAGAATGCTGGCACCTTCCCACCAAAGTGGTCCTTATTTTTCTACTTGCATTTTTGTGTTCTTTTGAACCGCTTGGTTGGCAGAAGCTGGGACATGTAATGGGAGCTCACTCCATTACATGGTGCTAGGGATTCAAACTGCCCAACGGCCAACTTATCTGATCGACAAGCTCAGCGTCTTAGCCACTGACCCACCACGTCTCTTTATATATTGCCTCTAATTTATATATTGCCCTGATAAATCTTTTGGTTTATGTTTAGACGGTGCCTTATTCAAGATGTACAGAAAGTTGCTCCCCAGGTTATGCCAAGCTTGTGAGAGAGGGAGCCCCAGTTTGCTGCTACGACTGTTCTCTGTGTATGGAAGGAACATTCTCTGGGCAAGAAGGTACAGTCGGTGGCTTCAAAAACAACAAGGATACAATCAAATTTCTCTATTGGTTTTTTGGTGTATTTGATCTAGAAGCAAGAAAAAACATTACACATCTTGAAGGCATCCACAAACATTTCAATGATTGAGCACTATCACCAAATTTTGTACGATGATGGAAGCATTAAAATAATCTATTGAGGTGTTACTTTCTTGCTTGGTTTTGGGAAAGAGGACAAGTTTTGAGAGCTGATAATCACATTCATCTTCAGCCTTTAAAAAGGTTGTTGGTTATTTGAACTAATGTTGTGTCATATGAATATCCCTGGGCAGAAATATGATATTATTCCTTGAAAATGAAATAATTGATTTCTGATGCGGTTTTCATGCTCCTACAGCAGCAGAAAGAGATACGCACTAACCAATTTTTTTTCAGATGCAGCCCATTGTGAAAAGTGTCCAGATGACCAGTATTCCAATAAGAAGCGGGATCAGTGTGTCCCCAAAAGCGTAACCTTCTTATCCTATGAAGAATCATTGGGACTCATCCTGACTTTCCTTGCCATTGCTTTGTCCCTAACCACTGCCTTTATTCTGGGAATCTTCATTAAACACCAAGAAACTCCCATAGTCAAAGCCAACAACCGTGAACTCACCTATGTTCTCGGGGTTTCTCTCCTGTTTTCTTTCTTGACCTCCCTTCTATTCATCGGTCGCCCCATGAAAATGACCTGTCTCTTTCGACAAACCATATTCAGTATTGTTTTCTCTGTTGCCGTATCTTCTTTGCTGGCCAAGACTGTAATGGTGGTGGTGGCCTTCCTGGCTACAAAGCCAGGAAGCATGATGAGGAAATGGCTTGGGAAGGGTCTGGCCCACTCGATTGTTTTATCCTGCTCTGGTATTCAAGTAGGCATCTGTATGACATGGATGGGAATCTTTCCCTCCTTCCCAGATTCTGACTTTCATTCCCAGCCAGAACACATCCTGCTGCAGTGCAACGAAGGTTCAGTGACCATGTTCTACACTGCCCTTGGCTACATGGGTTTTCTGGCTGCCATCTGTTTCTTGGTGACATTTCTGGCTCGAAATCTGCCAGGGACCTTCAATGAAGCCAAACTGATCACCTTCAGCATGCTGGTTTTCTGCAGTGTTTGGATCTCCTTTGTCCCCAGCTACCTGAGCACCAAAGGGAAATACATGGTGGCTGTGCAGATCTTCTCCATCTTGGCCTCCAGCCTAGGTTTATTGGGTTGTATTTTTGTTCCCAAGTGCTACATTATTACACTGAGACCTGACATAAACACCAAGGAACATCTGATGATGAAATCTCATTAAGGCTCCTTGTGTTGGTGTTTATTTTTGTTCAGTTTACATCCATTATAAAATCACATATCTTGAAGTAATGTTTTATGTATTCTCACTTATTTTTCTTAATTCTGTGTGCATTTTGAATTATAATAATTGAGTAGTAATGTTGCTAAAACAATTCAAACTATTTCAATTAATCATATCTTTCAATTGTCACAGTCTGAATTCATGTTAAAGCATAACTATCATCAATGACATTAATAAAATTTCTGAAACCAGGCCGGATAAACTGTTACCAGAGATGTTCTGATATGGTTTTAATCTAAATTAAAGATTATGGCTAATAATGTGTGTTTTTGTTGCTATATAGGTTGGTGTTATGTTTCATTTTCAGGGATGATGTTTTTTATTTATTTTGTGAAGCAATTATAAAATAACAGGTATAATTATAAACATACTTTTGAATACATGAAATGGATACGAATAAGGTAAAAAAAGAAGAAAAAAAGACAGGGAAGGTAGGCACATTGGTGTGCTTATGCACACCCCCTACAGACCTCTTAGGAAAGGGGTGTGGTCAATAGTAGACAGTCTAAGGTGGGGAAGAAACCACAGAGTCAGGTAGAGTATTCCAGACATTGACCACTCTGTTGCTGAAGTCGTATTTTCTGCAATCAAGTTTGGTGTGGTTTACCTTGAGTTTGTGTCTATTGTTTGCTCTTGTATTGTTATTGTTGCATTCTGAAAAGACTGAGCTGAAATCTTCACTCCGGTCCGTGCTTCCCGCGGGAACATGGACTGTTCCTACTGGCTGATGCATTTCACAGCTGACTATAAAAGGGAGCTGTTAAACAGCATCAGCTGTTGCCTGCGAGCTGGCTGCCTTGTTAGTGGGGCAGTCGCGGCAACCCTTTATTGTTTCAATAAAGTTAAAGCTGAAGTTTGCTCCGTGTTCCCCTCAGTTATTCTTCTGCTCCAGTACACTGGCGACGAGGGCGGGATACATATAAGAGCAAAGAATCGCTGAGCAAAGTCACTACAAAAATAGCCAAAGCCACTACCGAGCTGTATGTCCCTTTTAGAGCTTACTGTCACTATTTGTGAGGTTGAATTTCAACTTTCCTCAGAAGAACCACCACTGCTGAGACGAGATGATTTCAAACCCTGCATTCCCGCCTTTCAGACCAACAGCAGAGACATGGGAGTCCTACAGAAACCGAGTTAGTTGCAGACGCATCACCTTTTGGCATTGGAGCCATTTTAAGTCACAGACTGCCTAATGGTTCTGAGGCACCCATTGCCTTTTTCTCCAGAACGCCTCAGCCATGTTGATGCCCTTAGTCGCTGCCCCCTGCCTGTTCCAGTTGAGGATCCTGCACCAACCAATGCTGTGTTCCTAATCAATGATCTCAAGCTTCCCATCACCACCTCTCATATTGCTGCCCACTCTGCCAAGAACAAGGTAATTTCCCAAGACCTTGACTGGGTGGGAA